CAACAGCTTTTATTGCGTTGGTATTGACAAAATATTGACATTTCCTGAAAGTCGAAATAAATAGTTTTTTGTTGTTTTGGTTGGATTGCATAAATTAAAATTGATGACCACAAAATTACAACAAATTCTACAGAAACTTTGTATATTTTGAAACATTGTTTTGTAAGCAATTTGACTGCATTCAAAATTATTCAGAAATAAAAACAAACAAAACGCTAAAATTAAGTCTGTTAAATATTTGTATTATTTGCAGTTCTTTTTTATTTTGATTTAAAAAAATATAAATTTCCAAAAAATTTTACAAATTTTTTAACATTAAGGCTTTTTATGCACTTTTTGACATTTTTTCTCATATATATTTTGCGTTTTTAGTGCACTTAGCGAGCATTTTTTTATGTTTAAAATGTTGATATAGAAATTATTTAAAGAATTATTTTGTTGGTTTTTTTTTCAAAAATTTGTTTTTAATGCAGTTAGCTGGCAGCCTATTTTTATATCATTTTATATTTTTTGTCAAATATTGTTTTTTGCAACTACCATTGTTTGGTTGACGTTTTTCTTTTTGGTGACGTTTCTGTTTTATTGTTTAACTTTTAAATTTCTAATTCTTTTTTTTTTTTGGTTTAAGTGCTGCTATTTGGTACATTATATTTTATTTGCTGCTATGCTTTTTTATTTTCATTTTCTAGTGCTGTTAGCTGATACAGTGGCTATTGTTTCTTATTTTCTTCCGTTGTCTTCCGTGTGACATTTTCAATATTTGTTTAAATTAATTTATTAAATAATTGTTTATCAGAGTGCCTGAATCAGAGTGCCTGAATCCAGCAAGACTGAATATAGGTCCGTTGTATTATATTGGTGAACTTATTATGAAGTGTCTTTCCTGTTAGAGATTTGATAAAGGAAATGCATGTTAATAAACATTTGTTGCGGTTTAAAGGTGGAGAGGTGGAGCCCCACAAAGAAAGCAAATACTTAAACTCTATGTTAATATTTACAAAAATGTGTTTACATAAATGTTATTTAAAAGAGCCAGAGTGCAACAAAATTTGTAATACTGTTTTGAAAGACTCATTATTTTTAAGAAATAAAATTTTATTAATAAATTCACTTTTTATTGATTTTTTTTTTAAAGTTAGTTTTTAAGACAGTGTATAAAAAGCATATACATAATGCACTAAATAAAAAAAAAACAAAGAAAATTTTACTTAATTGTTTTTCAAATTTGTCTAAATGCCATGATTAGTTGGTTTATTGCAGTGGCAGGCCATTAGATAACTTTCATGTTCCTCAATTACGAATTTTTCGCGATTTTGATACCGCATTCCTCTCAAAAACTCTAGTATAGAAGAGTATAGACTAAATCCATACCGCCGAATTTAGATGATTCGACGATCAAAGAAGTATCTGCTTAATATACCTATATCTTATAGACGTCAAAGCTGGGCATTCACAGAAAAAATATTTTATGCTTTCTATCTAAATATCATACC